GACTACAGAAATACACTTATCAGATCCCGCCATCGTAGCGTACACAAGTACAAGCAAATCGATTCCGAGGAAACAAGCTTTTTTCATTCAGGTTGTTTTTATCCTAATCTTAAAAGTTTAGGCGACATCCCATAATCATCTCGACTTCATCGTCATCTTACTTGGTACCGTCACCTGGGAATACAAAACGACCCCCCCCCCGTAACCAACTCAAGCGCCGTCCGCATCGCTTTTTCATTTCCAGTCCACGTTTTGCTGTATTTTCCCAACCGTACCTTCGCCTCCCCCAACATCACTCTCGCTTTAGTCCGCGATCTCCACTAAACTGCACGTAACCATGCGTCTGCAATTTGTTGTCCTGCTAGTCGCTTCCGTCGTAATCGCAACTACCGATGCGACTTCCGGTTCTTCATTCGCTACTATTCGAGACGATACTCCTGCTGAACGCTCTTTGAGAATCAGCGGCATCAGTGCTAGCGACGAAGAGAGAGGAGGCCCCGTTGCTCTCGAGAAGGTCAAGACCCAACTGCCGACATCGACCATCACCGAGAAGACAGGGCTCAGAACGCGTTCTCAAAACTTTTGAGGAGCCGAGCCACAAAACCATAACCCCAGCGTAGCACAAGAACGCGTTCCGCTACCTGGACCAGGGCCTTATCGCGGCATGACAAAGCGAATGTTGGGGGATCAGATGATATTCAGAAGTATACTCAGCTCAAGTTAAATGCCATTTTTATCGTGACAAATTGCGATTTTTAATAAGTTCACTTTTTAAACAGTCATTGCGCATTGATGGACAATGAAAGACACACGCTGTCACGGCAAACCAGTAGAGAAAGGACTGAAGTTTGTAATTATAGCTTTGGATACCCAAACGTACAAGGATTAACCTCTGAACGGAGGGCTAAACGTTTGATCCTTTTATTTGTCCTACCGTCCGCTCCGCTGGGGTTAAGCGAGAAACCGCTGAAGTTAACGTTTTACTTTATCAGGGGATACTTGAACGAGGTTTTTCTCTCGCGGCGCTCATGGAGACGTTACACGGAACAGATACTTTTTGTTTAGATTTTCCTTCTTCCAAGTCCAAGATATGTCCCAGCTTCTAAAGTTGCTCTAAGAACCTTTTAACCGACGGAAGTGATCGCTGTGGACACCGCCGTCATCGACTTGGTGCACGAAGTAGCCGTGTATTACTTACTGTACATACGCTTGTAGCACACAAAACAAAAACCTTGCCTAACAGTAAAAGTTAACTTGAGCGCATGGGTTTACACAAACGGAGTAGGATACAAACTTCGATAGTGAAATAAATCGAAGTTGAATTGTTGATCCGACTACAGAAATACACTTATCAGATCCCGCCATCGTAGCGTACACAAGTACAAGCAAATCGATTCCGAGGAAACAAGCTTTTTTCATTCAGGTTGTTTTTATCCTAATCTTAAAAGTTTAGGCGACATCCCATAATCATCTCGACTTCATCGTCATCTTACTTGGTACCGTCACCTGGGAATACAAAACGACCCCCCCCCCGTAACCAACTCAAGCGCCGTCCGCATCGCTTTTTCATTTCCAGTCCACGTTTTGCTGTATTTTCCCAACCGTACCTTCGCCTCCCCCAACATCACTCTCGCTTTAGTCCGCGATCTCCACTAAACTGCACGTAACCATGCGTCTGCAATTTGTTGTCCTGCTAGTCGCTTCCGTCGTAATCGCAACTACCGATGCGACTTCCGGTTCTTCATTCGCTACTATTCGAGACGATACTCCTGCTGAACGCTCTTTGAGAATCAGCGGCATCAGTGCTAGCGACGAAGAGAGAGGAGGCCCCGTTGCTCTCGAGAAGGTCAAGACCCAACTGCCGACATCGACCATCACCGAGAAGACACTCGCGCGCTGGGCTCAGAACGCGTTCTCAAAACTTTTGAGGAGCCGAGCCACAAAACCATAACCCCAGCGTAGCACAAGAACGCGTTCCGCTACCTGGACCAGGGCCTTATCGCGGCATGACAAAGCGAATGTTGGGGGATCAGATGATATTCAGAAGTATACTCAGCTCAAGTTAAATGCCATTTTTATCGTGACAAATTGCGATTTTTAATAAGTTCACTTTTTAAACAGTCATTGCGCATTGATGGACAATGAAAGACACACGCTGTCACGGCAAACCAGTAGAGAAAGGACTGAAGTTTGTAATTATAGCTTTGGATACCCAAACGTACAAGGATTAACCTCTGAACGGAGGGCTAAACGTTTGATCCTTTTATTTGTCCTACCGTCCGCTCCGCTGGGGTTAAGCGAGAAACCGCTGAAGTTAACGTTTTACTTTATCAGGGGATACTTGAACGAGGTTTTTCTCTCGCGGCGCTCATGGAGACGTTACACGGAACAGATACTTTTTGTTTAGATTTTCCTTCTTCCAAGTCCAAGATATGTCCCAGCTTCTAAAGTTGCTCTAAGAACCTTTTAACCGACGGAAGTGATCGCTGTGGACACCGCCGTCATCGACTTGGTGCACGAAGTAGCCGCGTATTACTTACTGTACATACGCTTGTAGCACACAAAACAAAAACCTTGCCTAACAGTAAAAGTTAACTTGAGCGCATGGGTTTACACAAACGGAGTAGGATACAAACTTCGATAGTGAAATAAATCGAAGTTGAATTGTTGATCCGACTACAGAAATACACTTATCAGATCCCGCCATCGTAGCGTACACAAGTACAAGCAAATCGATTCCGAGGAAACAAGCTTTTTTCATTCAGGTTGTTTTTATCCTAATCTTAAAAGTTTAGGCGACATCCCATAATCATCTCGACTTCATCGTCATCTTACTTGGTACCGTCACCTGGGAATACAAAACGACCCCCCCCCCGTAACCAACTCAAGCGCCGTCCGCATCGCTTTTTCATTTCCAGTCCACGTTTTGCTGTATTTTCCCAACCGTACCTTCGCCTCCCCCAACATCACTCTCGCTTTAGTCCGCGATCTCCACTAAACTGCACGTAACCATGCGTCTGCAATTTGTTGTCCTGCTAGTCGCTTCCGTCGTAATCGCAACTACCGATGCGACTTCCGGTTCTTCATTCGCTACTATTCGAGACGATACTCCTGCTGAACGCTCTTTGAGAATCAGCGGCATCAGTGCTAGCGACGAAGAGAGAGGAGGCCCCGTTGCTCTCGAGAAGGTCAAGACCCAACTGCCGACATCGACCATCACCGAGAAGACACTCGCGCGCTGGGCTCAGAACAACAAGTTCCCCAAAAAGGCCCTGATCCGGCTGAACCTTTACAGCGCAGGAGACAAGTTCTTCAAGAAACCTGAGTTCGAGAAATGGGTCACGTACATGACCCTGCTCCACAAACAGAACGCAGAAGCAGCGGTGATATCGACTCTGATGACGCGCTACCCCGACGACGCCCTCTCGCAGATGCTCATTGCGGCTAAGAAGGTGGCGGGTACGGAGGCGATCGCCACCAAGTTGCTGACCGAACAGGCGCGCGTTTGGTCGAGTAGTGGCAAGTCAGCCGACGAGGTCTTTGGCCTGTTCCAGCTCACCAAGGCCGGGGACAAACTTCTCGATAATCCGCAGTTCACAGCGTGGACTAAATACGTGGACGATCTGAACAAGAACAACGTCGAAAAGGCAAATGCGATGATGACATCGGCCTTGGCAACTCACTACACGGATGAAGCACTCGCGACCATGGTGGTAGCAGGCAAGAAGGTTCCAGGTACAGAAAATATCGCGACGAAGCTGGAGGCTGCGCAGATCCAGGGCTGGTTGTCCAGTAAAGTGGAACCGGTCGATGGTTTCAAGTCGATCAGCCTTGACCAAGTCGGGGCGGGCTTGTTGACTAACCCCAAGTTAAATACCTGGGTCAAATACATGGACGCGTTTAATGCGAAGAACCCGAGGGCGAAGACGACAATGGTCAAGACGTTCACGACGTACTACGGCGACGAAGGTCTGGCCAAGATGCTCGTTGCGGCAAAGAATGTTGAGACGACCGAGGAGATGGCTACGGATCTACAACACGCACAGGCAACTGGCTGCTTGCCAAGGCAGAGCCGAGAGATGTTTTCAAGTGGGTGGGCATTAAGGGAACTGCACCTGACAGTGCTGAGAGAGACCTCTATCACAAGTACCTCAAGAAGTTCAACAGCATGTACATTGGCCGTCGGCTGAGTACGCCATAATTTAGATACGGGCTCTACGTACAGAGTTTGATGGGGGGATGCTTGGGCCTGAGAACCAAGCAATAAAAATACCTAACTTTATTGCTTAGGTATGCTACTTCAAAATGAGCGATTCGCGGTAGTAGTTAATAATAAGCATCTCATTGCGTTTGACCAGCTATTCTATCGCGTGTTCCGCCTAAAAGCAAAGAGCGTTTACTGGGGATACAACTTGCTTCAGATTTACAGGATATCGTACCCAATCAATGTACAGCTCGGGCCGTGTAGCTCGCTAACGCAGCCCGCCCACTGGTCAATCACGACGTCGACAGTATTAGCGCCCACCTCGGTAATTAGGTGGTTTCGTGACGCAGGCACGAAAAAGTGGGGGGAGGCGCAGCGGTTAAGATATCCCCGCTCAGAACAGTGCTCGGCGTCTGAGGACGGTGGGCGGCCGAGAGCGAGAAGCTGTGGAGCTGCCAGACGCTACTGCTCATTCGGCCTTTCGCCTGAAGCCTCGCAAGTAGTCCTTCCTCCTCACCTCTGCCCCTC